GGCTTGGCAGAAGAGCCTTGAGCGCCCACCCACCCCGTTCCACAGCCTCTTTCCATCTCGGATTTCGGGGCGGCCCCCTCCCCCACCTCTCCCTGCCTCTTTGCACCCTCTTTTTTTGGGTTTCGCTCGGGTTTGTAGCCGTCTGTTTTTGCACCCCTTTTCGTTCTGCTTCTAGACGGTTTGGGGGGTGAAACTGCATTCACACCCCTTCCCCTTGTTATCCTTCCCCTGCTCTGTCAGGCCCCCTTTTCATCGCAGTCGGGGGGCCTAGGATCGGTGCATCTTCCTCCACGTTGCCAGCACCCCGCAGCGCGTGGCCGTGCACCCCGGAATTTGCAGCGGCTGCATATCTTAGCGGGGTCTCCTTAGCCCCGCCACCTTTGCTCCGGGCGCTCTCGGGTGCGTGGAGGGCTACAGCGCGGCGCCCCCGCTTCTCCGCAGCCCCCAGCCCCCCGCGGGGACTCGCCCCGCGCTGCCGAGATGGTCATCCAGAAAGAGAAGAAGAGCTGCGGGCAGGTGGTTGAGGAGTGGAAGGAGTTCGTGTGGAACCCGAGGACGCACCAGTTCATGGGCCGCACCGGGACCAGCTGGGGTACGCGGGGCCCGCGCGCGAGGGGCCGGGGGGAGCCGCCGGGTGACGCCTCGGGGGTGCAGGGTCCCGCCGACGCGGCCCCAGCTCCTCTCCCGGGTTCTTGGCGTCCAGCCCCCCTGCTGGGCTCTGGACTGGGAGGTGGCCGAATCGCCAGTCTAATCTCCCTGCTGGCCGTGCGGAGGCGGAGAAAGTAGGTCACAGCCGCCTTCCCGCCCCCCGCGGAGCCCCCTCGGGCGGGGGGTCGCGGGCTCTGCGCGCGTGTCCGCGCCGCGGCGCTCACACTGCCTCTCGGGGCCTGTCCCCTTCACACGGTCTTCCCCCACCTCTGAGGAGCCCTCACCCTCCCTCTCCCTGGCTCTCACTAGCTCTCCAACCCCGTCTATTTTTAGCTCATGCCCACCCCCTGGACCCTGGGAACATTCTTGAGGGGGCGGGTCTTGGAGGGGAGGTATTGGGGGGGTTCTGCACAGCGGAAGTTGTTTGTCTATATCCCACCGCCGGGTGCTTGGAGCCTTCTGTGGCTGCTTTGTGGGTGGGGGGCTGCAGGGGAGGGGTAACCCTGTGAGTTTGTCCAGGCTGGATGCTGCGCTCAGATGTTGGTGGCAGAGGGAGGAGTGGTCACTGTGGGGAGATGTGTACATCATCCGGTCGGGTGTGTCTGTGGGAGTCGGATGGCTTGAGAGCTTCCCCAGCCTTACCATGGCTGGACTCGGGGGGCGTGAAGGGCGTTGTACCCAGTCGGGGGTCTGGTGATGGGCACAGGTGCAGCTGAATTCTTCCTAAAAAGATTGCCAAGCTGGGAAGTTGAAGCACAGGGGACCTTCTGTGACACAATTTACAATTTATCTACACTGGTCACTGTCCCTGTCGGTCCACCCACTTAGGGGCCCATAAGGTGGGTCCAATGCATTCCTCGCCCTCAGGGAACTCCAGTCCCTGGGATGAGAGGGATGGATCCAAGAAGGTTTGGGAGAATCTGAGGACTTCATGGAGGAAGTGTCTTTTGAGATGGGAGGACTGAGAGTCCAGGGTGTTGGGAATGGTAGGCTGAGGGAGCGATGGAGAGACTGTGTCCCAGGAAGGTGTGGGCAATTCTGCCTTCACTCCCTGCGTCTGCCCAGGGTGTGGGTGTGAGTTGAGAGTGAGTATTAGGTTCTTCATTTCAGCAACTGTGTTCAGGGTTTGGATTGTGCAGGGCACCAAGAAAAAGAAAATTTTGTTTTAATCTTAAGGTCCAGGCTCCAAGGGGCAGTAGGAGAATTTGAATGGTGGCCAGTGTTGGCCTAAAAAGTCATTGTGCTAGCACAGCTTTAGGCATGAGTACCAATGCAGAGGTAAGAGGACCATACCTTTTCGGGACCATGCATGGTTGAGAAGTTGGAAATGTAATTGGAGGCAAAATGACAGCAGCCTATACTTGGAGTTGCCCGAGCAACAAGAATTTAGGTCTCTTGTGGCCTCCACAAGGTCGGACTTCACTGTGCCCTAGGACCAGGAGGGGGCTGGGAGTCATGGCTGGATGCCAGATACAACTGCCTGTTTCCAGATTGTCTCATTTTGCTCCCAGGGGAAGGCTCTAAGATGTCCCTGTGGCTCTGCGACCAGCCTCAGTGCAGAATTTCTGAGTGGGTAGAGGGGTACAAGGGGTAGATGAGGACATGGTGGGAAACTTAGAACCTGCTGACCCTCTTTCCTCCTCCCTAGCCTTTATCCTCCTCTTCTACCTTGTCTTCTATGGCTTCCTCACCGCCATGTTCACCCTCACCATGTGGGTGATGCTGCAGACTGTCTCTGACCACACCCCCAAGTACCAGGACCGGCTGGCCACACCAGGTGAGTGATGGGGCTCCCCCTGCCAGCCACTTTAACTGCTGTTTTGCCTCCAACCCTCTAAAAGAAACTCATAGTTCTTTTTAGGAGTTTGGTTCTGATGACCCAATCACCATGTGCTGGGAAGTTCTTTTTGAAGTCTGCTTTCCTTCCCATTTCCTGCATCTGGGAGCTATATGATCTGGGAGGTGGCAGATAATCACAGGAGATTGCCTTCCCGTGAAGACAATGCCAGATCTTCACCCCATCCCTCATGCCAGCATTCCCTGTGTGTCCATCTTCTTCCCCTATGTGCAGCCCCTCATGTTATATATACCCCCCACTCCTGCCCTTGTCGGCTACAGGCTTGATGATTCGCCCCAAGACTGAGAACCTTGATGTCATTGTCAACGTGAGTGACACTGAAAGCTGGGACCAGCATGTTCAGAAGCTGAACAAGTTCTTGGA